GCTCATTCTGAATATAAATATGCCTTTAGAAAATCTCATTTGTTCATTGCATGTACTTCCCTTCTTTCACATTATAAATCTACACATTTTTTGTGATATCATGCTCCATATATGTATGTATGACAGTAGAGTAAAGTAATGTGCATCTCATATCTCTCTCGTTCTCATTTCGCTTGACACATTTTTATCTTGTACCGAAAAAAAAAGAAGTTAGAAAGAAGGAACATTTTTATTTTCATTCATTCATTCATTCTTTCTTCCACCCGCACACTCAGCAGAAATCGTTCACACGAAACACCTTCAACCCCTCATTGTGATTCAACAAGAATCGTTCTCGTCCATTTTCTTTATTTTACGTGTTCGTTTCGATTGCTTTTTATTTTTATTCTCATACTTTTTTTCTTTCTATTTCGACCCCATCCCCTCATCCTTCGTTACAACTTCCATCACCATCAAGTTGAATATAGCATTTATATCTTTAAAAAGAAGTGTTTTTGAAAAGCAAGTAAATGCTATTGATATAGCTCACGTGAATAGATAAACGACGTTTTTCTTTTCTTTTTTTTTTCCTTTTAGCATCGACTGTAAATGTATTTTAATCTCATCGCCCATTACACATAACATTGCTCTCTTTTCTCTCCAGCTCATTCCTTTTATCTATAGCTACAAAAAGATAAAAATTTATTGGAATTGTGTTAAGGCATACACATAAGGAGAAATATATTATAATGTGCCATTTGAGAGGCATTTTATTACCTGCCTTTCCTTCATTTCCAGCCATACATTTGCTGCCCCAAAGGTGATTAGTCCGTCTGTCCATTGTGATGACTAGAAAATGAATCCTTCAGTCTAATGAAATTGATTTCGTGAGCAGCAAGTGGAATTTTCTTTTTTTTCTGTTGTTGTTGATGCTTTTTTTTTATGAGGGATTAAGAAGTTGATGGGAATTTTTCTTTGTTAAATGTACAGGAACATGTGGGACGAAGACGTGTTTTAGGGAAGATTTTGCTTTTTTTTCGGAAAACTCTGGCAAAAAAGTTTTTTAATGGCTCTTGGAAAGTTTTTAATTTAAAGTTTATGTTTAGCTTTGTTTGTGTAACGGAGCTGTTTGGTTAGATTGAGTTTGGATCATATTTTTTAGCAGTCAGCAGAGATTGCAGTTTACTTAGTTTTGAATTTTGATGCTGGAGTGTTTGAATTGTGCAATTTTGCTGCTGATGCATTTAATGTTCGTTATAAAATAATGAATTTGTTCAGAAGACCATTTCAGGTTTTGTCCATTTTCATTTTACATCAAGGGAAGTTCCGTCTAATATATGGTAGTATAAAAAATATCAAATCACTTTTAAAATCTCTGTTCACAATCATTATACCATCAATGTTGGAAATGCCAGAAGCTAATGATATTTGGCAGCTTAAAAATTATCTATGTAGGTGTAAATCCAGATCCACGTATCACAGGCAATAACCTTTTAATACTGTGCATATAGCAGCTCTTTATAAGCTCTAAAGATCACGTATGACGAAAATTAATCCACACAATCCCAAATCCAGCAATTAACCTTTTCAAATATTGCTTTTAAAAATCCACAAAAAATGCTCAACAGCTGAATAAATTCAAAGACATATAAACTGCAGCCAACATCATTCTTATCTCTAATCATTTTTAATCAAGATTTTATATCAAAAACGTCGACATCATCACGAATTAAAGGACATTGTCATGTAAACGTGGTATAACGTCCAACTGCATATTCCATTAAAACTCATTCACAAAGCCATAATCTTTTATCACAGCATTTAAATCAACAATATGAACATAAAATTAATTAATCCCTGACATCAAATGAAAATGCGCTGCTATATCACCACGTATCATGAGCAGCACATTTGACCACTTGTTTCATTTTCTTTTTCTCACACACAATTTTCTGTCCATTTCTATTCCCTTTTCATTAGCACCGTATATTTTCTCTTAAATAGTGGACGAAAAGAAAATTGGAATCGTTTATTTGCCCACGTGAACAGTTGTCCATTGAGCATAATATCCAATTCACAACCACTTTGGTGGATGAGATGAACGACTCATTGTTATTCTTCTAAAATATTTTATTATCTTGAGAAATGGGAACTGAGCAGTTGTTTGATGATAACGGTTTTGTGGCTTGGGGGAGTACGAGATGAAGAACGTCATCAACCACAATGATCTTTTTATGAACAATTGAAAGCTTCATCATGTAATTTTTAAGAAGGAATTTGTAATATTTTCATGATGTCTGTGAACTTATTGTGGGTTGGTTTTCATTTAAACATTGGAACTAAACAATTTCAAGAGAAATTTAATTTCACGTGGGTTTTGGCATTTTATAATCATAAAATTAATTAATTTTATGAATTTTTTGATTTTGAGTTTTTTTAAATAAATTTAAAAGATTGATTGAACTAGAAAAGATTTCAGAATGTCTAAAACATACAGGGACATAATTAATAAATTTGAAGGAATTAAGAAAGAGTTGTGTAACAGGTTGACAGGTGAACAGGCACAGGTGACAGATCTATCACAAAATATTGTAAATGTACCAAAATATTATGATTAAATTTATTTTTAAGAAACTTGTCTTCGGATTCGATTTCACGAAATATTTAATCAGATTCGAATGCTTTTTTACTTGGTTTGTGTGCAATTTCGACTTAATTTTATGAAAACTGTCCACAGGCTTAATATTACAGATCCATCCCTTTTTAATCATTTTAACCACAAAATATGAATCAAATAAACAAAAAATTCATGAAACGTGAATGAAACGTTGAGTGACCCTATCACCTTGTGTCTAAAACCCAAAAATCAAACCTCTTCAAAACTTTTATCAACTCAAAATGATCTGTTACATAGATAAAAAAGAGAAATTCTCAGAAATTCAATTAAGTTCAATTCACTTTCTGATACAGACACAAATCAGCCACACCACAAAGTTTCCACAAAACATTGTGCAAAATCACTCGAAGCTAAACAACCCATATAACCCAAAAGAAATATAAACACACAAATCGCATTAATTTCATAGAAGAAAAACTATCATGAGAATATACGAGACTTGAGTCTCGCATGATCAAACTTATCAGATACTCATGCCGAAAAAGAAGAAAAAAGATTTTTCCTAGTGATAGAAAGCAGCAAGCAAGAATGAAAGGATTTAGAAACGTTAATTGAATGTCTTGGTAAAAGATTAACATTTATCTTTAATAATATATTAATCAAAAGAAGATAAAGACTGAATCATTAATATCCACATTGAAAGTTACACACATATATCCATCTTATATATACATCAAACCTAATGTACTTATATCCTTCGTGATATTTTTAGCACTAAAAGAAGAAAAAGGAGAGATAATGAAAAAAATATGCTGAGTGATTGTGGTCAATATGTTTCACACTAATATCCTCAATGGAATTTTTAAATTGAAATTGATTGCCATTTGCTATACGCACATTAAGTAAGGAGAGAAGTGAAAAGAAGATCTTTATGTTTAGGGAGTTTTACGTTACTCTCTCGAAAAATGTACAACAAACAAACATGTTCAAAATTGGTATGAAATGTGATATTTTTGGAAGGCGATCGGAGCGCATTTTGATGAAAAATTACTGAAAATCGATCTTTGGATCTATAAGCTGAATATCAGGTAATATTACAATATAAACTTTTCACACTGTGACATCAAAACTGAACTTGATTAGGCGTTTAAAGGTCGTATAAGCACTCAAACCTAGAACAACAGTTTAGTTTCGGATCTGAATCACTCAATCCCGAATGGCACAAGTCGGTTAATTGAATAGAAATCCGGTGCCCAGTAGGCATGAGTCTGGCATTATTATTATTTATTTGTCGACGTTACCGTCTGGAAGAATTAGTATTTATACATGTTTTACTTTTTACATTGATTAGTGATACATTTCATATCACTATGGGTGACGTAGAATCAAGCTTCTAATCTTCAAATCTAGGTTTCAAATAAACTAAGGCTCTCGTTTCAATCTTCTGTGGGCGTGACGTGATACTTTTCAGGTCCGTTCTGACAATATTCCATTATAAGGTAATCTTGTAGCTCTCGTTCCTATTTCTCCCGCTACACTTCAAGTTCCTGATCCGTTCCTTAATCCAACGTTGCCCAAAATGCCCAATTATGGCTTGACTCGTACATTAAGCAGTCGAAGTATCTAAACTTCTGAAAAAGAACAAATTTGGAAATGGCTGGATTCGAACCGACGACCTTCGAGTTACCATACCAAATTTGAGCCATGAAGCGCATGAAACTGGCTTCAATTTAAATCAAGCACCATACCAGAGTCCCATCGGCTTGGTGCCGAATTTCTGATCGATAACCGATTTGTGTCATTCGGGAATTACGTCTGTTGTCTTTAAAGGAAGACTGTGAATTTTATGATTCCTTTTCAATTACAATTTTGTTGAATTATGAATTCTTGGACGCAGTTTAAGCAATAAGCACTACGTTACCGAGTTGCTTTACCATCCTAGTTCAAGGGAACTGTTTTTTACTGACTCTACATCCTTCTGTCTTTGTCTATCCAACAGAAGAAACTTCATTTAATGAATCCTTGTTTAATATGCTTGGGTCCTAAATTTCTCATATCTTTCCTTAGGTGAAACCAAACTGCATCAATTATTGTAACCATAACAAAAACTTTATCATAGAAAAATACGATAACCATATCACAATTCAATTCATCCCGATAACGAGCGTTATGGAATCTCTTTTATTTTTATTTGGGAAGTACAACATAGCACGACGAGAAAATAAAAATACACAAACCGCATTAGATAAAGAATGAGAAAAAATTATTCACAGTAAAAAAATGTAATTCTCTTGTCGATGAATCTACTTCCCATTCCAATGTCATTCATTTCATTTCAAGTTTGTCACTTTGAGAGTAACGTTGAATATAGAAATTAATTGTGATGAATCGAGAAAGTGAAAAAATGAATCAGAATGAAGAAGTAAACCAATTTGCTGATGTTGTGCTTAAAATGAGGGAGAGTAATGTGGGTGAGGTAGGGGAATCATGATTCTGAAAAATTTTCAATGCTCTTTTGAGTGTTGAGCAAACGAAAATGAAGAATAAAATAACAAATCGGTGATTATTTTTGTTTGTCGGATTTTTGAGCAGAGTCTGCTGTTTTCGGGAAATAATAGCAGTGTTGGTGATGTGATTTTGTGGAGTATTGATTTGTTAAGACTTAAGACTATTTACGATACCTTATGACATATTCATAGCAGATAGATCTATACAGAGTCAGGTACTGATACTGAAGATCCTCCGATACCGGCATATCCAAGGTCTTTGGTTTAAATCAACGTTGTCCAATCTGTCGTAAAACATTCTTAGGTTTACAAAATTTATATTTGTAACGTGAAAGATTTTCTATAGTCAAAATGTGACGTGGCTCCAAAAGTTTGGACAGCATTTGTTTAAATAGTGACATTTTCAGCTACATAAAGCACAAAGGGATATGAGGGAACTTTAAGATGAGGATTAAAAGTAATACTTTCAAGAGTGTGAAAAGCTTTATTAATTATTTCTTGTAAAATAATCATCTTCTAAAACATTATGCTAGCCGGTACGAAAAAAACTCATCCTTACCAATAAACTAAACCAGCTCTTCATGTTTCTAGGTAGATATCCCACCAAGCCAAGATGTCACAGACGGAAGAAATCGACGGCAACCAGCAAACGAATATTATCATCTGAAAAAATCACACGCAGAAGGTATGATGGATCTGAGTCTTCTAACAGCCAACGCCAATCAACTCAAATTCATACTTTATTACAATAAGGATGCTAAAACATTCTATCCGGCCCTCGTACTCATTATATTATCGCTGATATTACAAATTGCTGTTGGCATTTTGCTCATTTTTCGAGTAAGTCGTGTGTACATTAAATATAATCCATATGGAAGTTCAACGAAGTGTTTAAAAAAAATTTAACGAGAATATGAGAATTAATGTCTGTTACTGTATGTATGTGTATCTTGCAGAGACGTTTAAAATCAAGTGGACAAAGGCAGCGTGCGAGCATAACAAATGAATATTTAGTGCTCTTGATATTTCTGACAACATTAATAAACATATTGGTGGCAGTTTTTAGCCCCGTTGAGAATGCTGAAAAGCCACAATGATAAAGCGCTGTTTTGCCGAGAGTCGTTATCAGATTGATGCTTATTTTCTCTCTTTCTTTTTATGTGAAAGAAAAAATATGAAAAAAACATAAAAATAAAATATAAATTGAATTTTTTTCTCATCTATTCTCCATCTTTTTCATCTTATTTCATTCATTCCATCTACGCTTACTTACTTACTTATTTACCCCGCTCTATTTTTCAAATTCCTTCTTCCTCCCCTCCTCCACACCGCAATCCCATTTTCCATATTTTTCCATCTCTCTACATTTACATCTTTCTTTCTTCGCGCTCCGTCAACAGACAAAAAAGATTGTCATAAATTATTTCGCGTTTCAAAAGTCTTTATTGCATTTCCATAATATAATAAAATTTCCTAAATTAAAAAAAGTAAGGCACAAAAGATTCATGTCGCTGTTTCCGAGTACTTTTCTCTTCCTCTATCAAGTACCGAGTCGTGTTTTGATAATGTATATATGCGAATAAGAATAACAGAGAGAAGCTGGCAAGTGAAAAAGTCTCCATTATTATGGATGATGAATGTATACTTATTTTTTGATGTGACCGCAAGGCAAATAAACCCGAAAATTGTTTGAAGGTTTTATTGGTGATGATGAATATAATTATGGAAGGTAAATTGAGGGTGAAGATTGGCGAATTTTTTTTAATGTTAAATATGTTTTGAGTTTGGGAATATGATAATATTTGGGTGTCGTGGCTTATCTCAATATGGGTTTTGGAGGTGTTGTTGGATTTGGGATTGAAAAAGATGTCGATTTGTGAGTTATTTCTGAGATTTTAGTTGATTATCGTGATTCTTGCATGATTTAAATGAATTTTTATGGAATGTGCTTTGGTATTCATTAGTTTTAAGGTATTATTCACTTCTGATGTTTAATATTTATTAAGAGAAGGTATATAGCTATGTGGAACTTCAGATCAACACAAAACTTACGCAAGTAGTTTTTTCCAATTAATATATCCTCAGTTGTAGGAGCCGATTTCTACGGTAATGATATTCCACAGATACAATACAGCTGTATGTTGTATACCTACTCAGTTAAACACTTGGACAGTATCGTGCCAGTGCTGTATAAATCAACTCATAAGTTAGAAGGGTTGGATCTTAAAATAACAGTTCATATTCCTTAAAATCGTTACTTGTGTACAGCTATAAGCCTGAATATTGATTATTTCTATCAGAACTGAACAGAATGAACCACAACATACGACTTCTCCGGATGAACAATCAATAAATTTCCATTTTTCAGTAAAATTGCATAAAAAAGTCATCAATAATTCCAATCACCTCATTAATCATCCATTTAATATCGCAATCAAGCCAGCCAAAATGCCTCATAAACGAATTCATTTACTTAGCATAAAATATGGTGTTAAAAATCATAGAATTACATACGTGAAGAGCAAGAACGTAAAATATGTGAATAAGAAGAAGAAGAATTTATTCATTCTGATATGTGTTGGAGGGATCAGTTGAAGGAATATTTTCAGGCATTAACTTTTCATATTTCCGCCTAAAAGGTGCGCTCTCACATCGAGTGTCTCTCATTCTTTCTCTTCCATTCGGCTTTTTACAATAACAACAATAATGTGAATTGCTTGTTGAAAATTAAATTACATTTTATCACATTAGACATAAATTTTAAACATGTTAACATTTTTACTTTTCTCCTTAAAATTCTTCTCGTTCTCATTTTCTCTGCGTTGACTTTACTTTTTCACCCCTCATGTTCATATTTTAAAAATGTTATTATGAGTAATTCCTCATTATTTCTAACTTCATCTTATCAGACAATACGAATTATGAGAATGAACATACAAAAAAAAATTATTCATTCATCTCGACTCTTTTGTGGGCTGAGAATGTGTTTCGTACTAAAATTTATGGCCTCGTTGTAAATTTCTTCCTGATTATATTTTTAAATCATACGTGCATCTCATTTTGGGTGGAGACACTGAGGTTTGGTTAGTCTCGAGAGAATTTATTCAACGACTTATCGCATGTTTATTTACACAAATACTTTAATTGTTCTCTAAGTTTTTTGAGTTGAGAGTGGTTTTGGGTGGGATGTATTAAGTTAATTGAACTTTATTTAGATTTTAAGAATTTAAAGGCTTCAACATTACTACTTCATCATTCTCTTTAATGCTAAGTTCAGTTGAGTTGATGGATAAGTTCAGTTATAACGTTAAAATCAGTTTGGGATTCAATAAATTCAATTTAAAGGATAAGATTAAATCATGGATAAGTTCAGTCAAGCAGTCAAAAAATTGACTTTATTCAGAGAATAAGTTCAGTTTTTTTATTAAATAAGTTCAATTAATGAACATGTTCAGCTAAAAAATCAGTAATGGGATATGTTCAGTTTTAAAGAAATAAGTTCAGTTTAAATTGAGTTTTGTTGTATAAACCTTTTTTAGTTTTCAAAAGGATGTGTTCAGTTTCGATAATCAACACTCCAATAAAATTCATTAACAACCTTAAACATTTTAGACTTCCGCATCGTCTAATCCTACTTCTACAGACTTAAATTACATGTGCGTAAGAAAATTCACGACTTTATCCTTCCCCACATATGCCGAAGCCGTATTCTCGTTATTTTTAGACATTAATTACGCAGTAATTGTTGGATCCTTTCTACTTCATACACACGCCACGTGAACCCTTTCTCTGCTCGTTATTTCAACTGAAAATCATCATTATTCCATTTTCTCGACCACATAAAAGCAGTAAATTGCGGATCGTGAACTTGCGTGTACGAGATACGAAAGAAAATGATTATTCTTAACTATTTTAAAGACATTAAAGCTTTTGATTATGTCTCTGGCACTAACTGCTCTCATTTTCTATTCAATTGAACTAAAATTTCTTTTTTTTTGACAATTTTCTGAGTAATTTTACACAATGCTCATTCAACATCACATCAGAATGACAAGCGGATAAGATAATGGGAAAATTTTGTCGTCCTAATTTGCAATTTCGCGGAAGCTGGAAGAAGTGGAAATGATGAGATATTTAATGTTGAATGGATGGCTTTATGAGATGACGTTGAATGGATTTTTGCGGTTTTAAACTCTCTTTGTCGAATCAAGTCAGACGAAAAAAAAAGCTTGGCTGATGGGAACAATGTTTGCGATTGTTGTGAATGACAGAAAATTCTCATCAATTTTGATTATTGTTGAGAATGTTAATGTCTAAATGAGGTTAAAAATAGAATTTTACAGGTGGGAAAGGAATTACTGAAGACACGTTTTCAGATCATTCAAATGTTTTTGTGGCTGAATTTTGATTTGATACAATTTTAAAGGAGTTTTCATAAATAAGCCATGTGCAATACTGACAGCTGCAGAATTTCGAAATTGAATGAAAAAGAAGTATTAAGTCATATGAAGTTGAATGTGAAGCGACAGTTAACTAATCAGTATGATAGTGACCAACAATTCATAGCAGTAACAGAGAGGTTAGACGACAGACTCGTGATAAGATTGTAAAGACTTTGGTTCGATTCTTTACTTCGCTAGTTTCTCAATTTAAGTTTAAATTGGTTCTTTTGCTGATTTCCATTTCCTAATTTTTGATACCAAGAACAGTGGCTCCAGTAAGCCCTTACATGAGTTTTGAAATCAATCTTGTGAGCTCGATTTTATGAGCAATTCAATATTTGGTTACAACGACGGAATCAAATATTTAAAGCATTATGAAAACACTACGAATCAGGGGGGCCTGAAATTCTGTAAAATGAGAACTGAAGCAACCTGAATTAAAATGTTTTTGAATTTAATAGAAACTTAGTTCCACTATTGCCTTTTAGTAATGAAATTTCAAATAAAATGCAACAGACAATTCCATTGAATTTTTCTGATCTGTAAATAAAATTCATACTTTATTGCCAACAAAAAAGAAAATTTCAAGCACCCTTGAGCTTATATGAAAATAAGCTTACCATCATCATTAGAGGCTTCTAAAAAATTCATTCATTCATTTCATCGAATAAATTTCCTCTGAAAATGTGTTAAAAATTTCACCAAATGCCATAAAAACATTCTTCTACTTCACTTAAATACCATCATAAATCGTATTTAAAGCTCCTCATGTCTATTCCAAATGAAAGCATGAAAAATAATTTTCATAATTAAATTAAAATTGGAAAAAAAATCTTTATTTTATGTAATTTATGTATTTTTCTTTTATTTTTTAATTACTACGCAAATGTTTTTTATCATTTTTCATTTTTCCTTTTCTTTATTGCTTTTTATGTTATTGTACAATATTAACATCATCATCTTATCTTTTATGGACTTAACTTCACTACTTATTTTATTATTATCACAACATCTAATATCACAATTTTCCTCTAACAGGAATTGGAATTTTTTCTTATATTTTATCGTATTTTTTTATACAAATTTTTATGATCCTTACAAAGTTTTTTTTTTTGCTCATATTGAGATAACCATCAACATTTCTTTGTGTGTCATCTCATCTGTTTCATTCCATTCAGTTTCATATTTTTTGTCTCTTTTAAAAATTTGCGTGTACAAAGAAATACAACTTCCTAAAAAGAATGTCAATGTCAAATGTAATTCATAATCAGTCTTCAAATTGTGATTACGAAAGTTACTTCCTATTTTTTTTCATCTTTTTTTTACTACCTCTCATCTCGTCTACATGTTGGATTTTAGTTTTTTTTTTAAATATTTTTAATATTCTTACTTCTGCTTTTAAGTTTATTTTATTTTATTTTAATATTTTTTTATTTATTTTTAAATCGACCATCGTTTGATTGCTCTTCCGCTTAAAAGTTACTGGTTTTATATTTTTTTGTTTTATTATATTTTAGTTTTTTTTATTTTTGAATTTTCTAGACGCTTTTATAGGTTATGCTATTTTTTTTTACTTTCTGTTTAATTTTACTTCGGGGTTGAGGTTTTTGTGGATTTTATCATTAAAAATTCATAAGGATAATAGAACTGTGATAACAATAGCTACTGGCCAAAAATGATTTTGTATTTTTAAGGATTTGATGTAGCTAGAAGATCATGAACTAGTTATGTACTCAAACAATAGATCAAAATTCATTTTAAAGCTATCAACTCAATTTTCAATCTCGTTCAATAAAATTTATTATTATTTCGAAATAAAGTTCCCGATTTGAGTAGTTGTCTTTAAACTGAAGACTTTCAGTACATTTAGAATCTTGCCCTGTCATTATATCAACAGCAATACAAGAAATTATCTATTTATAAGTTACCCGTGAGCTTTTATGTTTTACAAACTAAATAATTAACCACAGAATTTACTGTAAAGTGGCTATAACATTAAGAAACTCTTTCGACCGGTATAATTATTATTTGCTGTGATATAATGTTCTACAATTTGGTTCTTCAAATGATTTTTCATTATAATATTCCATAAAACTGTCTTCGTAATGGAACCCCCCATCTTGGGTAACGACAACAGTAGCTGGAATATTTCTGATAAAAAAAAACACCTAGATTAAGACACGTCGCTATCAATTCGGGCTTGGCATTCAAAATCCTAAGCTTCTCCCAACTAAATAAGCGATAATTCTCAAAAAAACTTGACTAGTTCTTTAAGAATTCACCGATTTTGTTTTTGAAAATTTGGTACTGTTTAACGTTATTTATTAGGATTTGTCGAAAATTAGTTCTGGATGTTAACATACTTATTGTAAATTTTAACGACTTGATCAAAATTCATTTGTAAGTTAATATAACCAAAATCATTCATAAATTTTACATTAATGCACTTTAAAATTTCGTTAATGTACCAAATACGAACATCATTGCTCTTATGCACATCAAACTCCTATTGATTAATATTTCCACAAATAAATTCAGAACTCATTAAATTGAAATTTGAAGCTCTAATAAGAAAATTCAATATTAATGTATTCCAAATCCTCAAGTAAATTAATAGTCCAAAACCTTCATACATCATCAATAAGTAATCTCTATGAATTACTTCAATTCAGCTCCTATCCTTTACCTTATTGACCATTTAACCAATAACAGCAATCATTAATCCTCAGTTGATTAAGATGTAAACAGAAAATTTCATCAATAAATTCCACAAAAATGTTCAATCCCGAATCTATCTTATACCATAACTTCATCTTAAAAATTTTTCAGGATAGTTTTTTTATATGAGGGAGATTCTTTACTCTCATTACTCAAATATCGAAAACACATTTTTTATATATTAAAATGGGGGATTTTTTTGTGTGTGTTTTGCTTTAAGAACATTCATTTTTCATTTCCTACAAAGACTAGATGGGGTGGAGATGATTACTTTTCTTCATTTTTTAAAAATTATTCATGTTTTTTTTCTTTACTTCAACTAATCTGCCAATGTATAAATCTTATGAATTATTCTTGCTTACGAGACTACATAAAATATGCTTAATGTCAAAATTGCTATCCAACAGCTTAGTCTAATCATTTGTGAGCTATTTGAAAAGTTTAATGTGGAAAATTCTGAGCTTCTCGACACCTTACTCTTTGCTTGCTGAACATTCATCACACTATTCTCGTCGACAAGTGCTCTGAACACATCCTGCTTACTTAATTCACATGGTGATGCTATTGGAACAAATGGATGTACTATATTTACAGGATCATCTTCCAGAACCTATGTTGAGTTGCAGATATGTGGATGTGCATGTAAAGAAAAGAGAATAAAGCGAGTTAGAGATTATTTTTTTTAATGTTACACTTGAGTAAATTTTACAAATAAATTTCATCCACTATATATAAAAAGGGATGCATGATAAAGAAGACAGTTAAGGGAGAGAAGAATATGTATGAAGTCATAATATTTGAGTTTGCTGGAACGTTTTAATGGTTGAATAAGTTTTTAAGCTGAATTTTCAATTTTCATTTTCTTTTTATTTACATCGTTTCAAGGGAACGGTGCTACAACAGCTTTCAGAATTTATAGAGTTTGAAAGAGTCAAATTTATGAGTCAAGGGATGATCATTCTTGTCACAATCTCATGTTTTACATAGAAATTAATTTAATTAATTAATAGGTTAATGTAATATGTAATTATATCCACAACTCGAGAGTAATTACTCATTATTATTCAAAGAGTGCCTTACATTATCATTCTGGATTAATTTGGTTGATGCTGACAAGACTAAACCAATTAAATGTGTTTCTTGTGCCACATAAAAGACAATAATAATATTGGATATGTTCTCGATTACAGAAACTTCTTCGAAAGTTATAGTAAAGTAGAAATTCCTCGAATTACTGCGTTGGGAAATTTTATTTTCAGCACTTGGAAACCTGAAAGAGTTTTAAAGCTGATACCGTTCAAAAAAGGATTTTCTGGATCATGTTACACGCTTATTGCATTTTAATCGTCAATATTTTGCAGGTGGTGGTTTTTAAATGACGTCAACTTAGTTTGACTAGAAAATCCACTTTTTCTCTCAATATCAGACGTCATTCATGTACAATCCCCAAGGAATATTCATGAAAATGCTAACGTTTAAGAGATTATAATATTGAGTACGAGAAACTCTTAATTGAAAACCTTGGAAGACTTCATTTACCGTCTTATAAATTTTGTCATGTTTGATTGCCATAGTAACATCTACATCTTAATTAATTGCAGCTGCAATGTCAAATTAGTCAACTTTTAAGGAATAAAGGCAAAATTTTGTATTCGTAAACTTGGATTATTGAATTTTTAATTGAGTTACAGAAATGTCAAACTTTTGAAAGAAAATCGATACCAAATCTATATTTACTCATTGATGTAAGGATAAACCTTCGATATCTGTGTACGTCAATGAACGCAAAAAGTTTAAAAAATTAAAATTTTGACATCTTATATTTAGAAATTCTCAATTTATGTTGGCAACATTTTGCTTTTGGATGTAAACTGTGGGGGTGTAGCTAACATGTTTCAAAAAAATTATTGTAATGTTTATTTGATTTTAAGAAGTCTTTCAAACTCAAAAGTATTCCACTAAACATCGTCTTACCCAAATAGCACAAGTTTGATAAACGAGACGAAACCCTTCGCTTGGATGACGCTGGGACGATTTTGAGGGCGAATTTTTAGTCGCATAGGATTTCATCTCGATTATCCGACTTGTACTATTCAAGTTACATCCCTTAATTTCACTCAACAGACATCAAACTGCATCCCCAAACAAACAATCTCTATAATGCATGGAAGGAAATCAACTAAATTAGCTTTAAAAAATATTCATTTTCATGAGAATATAAAAAACACATTGCAATGCTCCTTCCTTTTTTATGTGCAAAATTATCATAAATTAGATAATTATGCAAATTGTATGCAAAATAAATTCAGCAACAACACGAGAATTAAATGGAAGCCAGGTGATTGCAATCATTTTACGTATTTTATATTTAGCGATTTAAAATTTACGAGTAGTTGGGAGAACTCTTACGGCCTGTTTCACTAAAGTGGATTATCCTCGATTTCGGATTATCCACTTCAGTTTTTTGGAAATATCTTAAACTTTATGGGAGGTGTGGTATTTCTAATTTTGGATTATAATAGAGTGAGCTATGCCTGAAATTTCTGTATACTTTAAACTTTTACTTTTCGTTAAGAACTATCAATTATTCAATTTCCTAGCCAAATCTAGTAGGTTAACTTCAATTTTTGCTATAATTCTCAAACTAGTGAAGATATAAAAATTCTAAGTATATGTTGATTTAAGTAGCAAAGTACTCTTGCTAGATCACACATTAGATCTCTTAATAACCTTAAGCGTCTGGCGATATTTCCAAAAAACTGAAGTGGATAGTCCGAAATCGAGGATAATCCACTTTAGTGAAACAGGCCGTTAATGATTATTGAATGACAATTGCTGAGTATGAGGATCATTGTCTTAGGTTTGTCGCCACATTGCGGCATTTCTCAATAAAATTTTATATTTCTTGATGGAATGAAGCACTGAGGAAAATAATTACAGATCAAAATTCCTATTGCGTTCATAAAAATCAGTAAAAAGCCATCAATATCTCAATTTTCTGCTTCACTGGAAGACAGACAAATATCCAAAGACCTTAGAATATTATGAACGGCAGTCTATGAATTGTCAAATTTACACAAAAAAAAATCTTTCAATTCAGTAGTAGAGTTAATAAAAAAGCATGTTATTTAACCCCCCGAAGATAGTCTCATCCAGACCTGAGCTGACAATAACATAGATTTATATGTCTGCAATTTCGAGAGTAACTTTTTATGCACCTTGATAATTCCATTAAATTAGATTTTTCTTTAAATAAGATGATTATGTCATCCTACGCTTGAATACATGAATGAAAAAATAAATTCCAATTCAGACAATAGAAATAAACAGTTTTCTTCTTGCAGCATTATGTTCCCTTGAGTATGTTTTCTCTCTCTTCCTCGTTTCTCTTTTTTTTCAAAAACAACTTCATCATCAAAAGGAAAAATATTCTCGTCTCCATTTATATATCTTCTGGCTTTAAATGCTATTAACTACGCATCTTGTGTGTCTGTATTTTGAAATTTATATACATACCCTTCTTTGATCACCGGTGCTGATAATATCGAACGGTGATGTTTTGCTGATTCTCTCAAAATGATCAAATTCCGTTTTCCAATCGTATGTCTTTAGATGCTCCTCGAGCGTCTTACCGGCATATCTGTGAAATGAAACGAGAAATAAAAACAAGAAGAAATGAGAAAACAAAATTCAAATTACATCATAAAATGACGATAATGAACATTGGCAGTTAAAAAATATTTTCATTTAATGAATTTTTAAGTTTCGTCAAGTGGACAATAAGAATGTCTGAATAGGTCTGAAGTTTGCAGCCAAATGAAAAAGTTTACAAACTTTTAATCCCAAAGCGATTTGTTCTCATAAGCTCGTAATGCAATCAAGTACGAAAAAGAGACGCCAACAACTCCTTCCGCCCTAGAGCTGACAGCATATTGTCGTAAATTCATCTACACAAGCGACATACAATAATTAATCATTCATGATTATTTTCAGGACAATAATGATGGAAATTTTCTCAAGTTGTTATAAATGCCTCAATTCATTTCCATTTGGGAAAAGCTTTTTTGATTGTTGAGGACAAAAAAAAAAGAGTTTTAGCTTTAAGATGATGAAAATTCTCATGGGAAAAGTTCTGAAATGTGCTTGAAAGTTTGTTTTGATTTGATTGAAATTGTTGACGAAATGAAAATTTATGAGGCTTTTAAGAGGGGATCTGGAATGTGAATTATGTTCATGGATTTGAAGCGTGAAATATGTTGATATGCTAGAATTTGGAATCATGTTTGATTGGAGATTTCTAGGAGAATTCCGATTGTAAATCTTGAATTTTTATTTGTTGGCATTTACTAATGAATATTGTCGAAGTTTTGGACTAGCAATTCATGCTTGAGGTACAATATCCTCGCGCCATCCTCATTTAAAGCAAATGAAACTAAACATTTTAGAGATATATCAACTCTGAACCCTCCACCCCTACTCACAATTCAAAGTCACAAATTTACACTGCATTATGCTTCATAACATCAAACCCTCTACAGTGTTACATTCAAATGACATAAATAAATAACACAGCCGTTTTTATTACCTTAACAAATTTAGAAATATATATCCTCATCCCTTACAAACCCCAAAAAAAAAGTTAAAAATATCCCCAAATGAAAATTCATATTTTTGTCATAAATTGTCAGAAACGACAGAATAAAATTTTTTAAGCCAACAATTCTCCAATGTTTGCAGATCAAATCTGAGCTTACTGTAAATATTAAAAACACTCTTGTACCCTACGGAGTCGCCTACTCACGAAAATATATATTTTTAGCAAAATTCATTTCAATCCTTAATTAAATTAAAACTTCCTTAAATATTCACAAAATATCTGCAAAAATTACCCCAAAAGAATTCTACAAAATAAAATATCTTGATTGAAGTTTTGACATTTTCAGCTCTTATTCCATTGAGGAACTTCAAAAATATCAAAAAATGAAAATAAAAAGAAATAATCATCATCTTACCTTTCAGGCAGCGAAATTGTGAATGGCGGGGCATTATTGAGCTTCTCAATGTTCAACGATTTTAAGAAGTTTTTCGTCTTTGGTTTTGATTGACACGTACTAAGAAGCTCTTGTCTTGGATAATAAACGAGCGTTGCTTGACAAATTTCTTGTTGTGCTTCGAATCCGCCGAGTGTAAGCTTTGATTTATCGTAGCTGTCATATGAGCATTCAACAACAAGGTCATCACCAGGAAGAATCCTGACGCCTTTACTAATGATTCTATATTCAAGATATTCCGAGTCGAGATTATGGTCTTGTGCAATAGGATAATGCTCCTTTCCATTACGTACTAATCGTACTTTTATTGTTTTACCCATTTCATGTGTTAACATTTGTACACCAACGACGGTGATGCCTTCAGGCGGTATGGCAAATTTGTTTGCATCACCAGTACAGTAACCGATGCTGGTGACCTTTCTAAAGCCAGGCGGTATGATATGAGTCCATATTGGTTGAATGCCTACAGATAATATTCCGGCATTATTTTGTCGTTTTATACTCGTATGTGAGAATCTTATGCCAGAATTGTCAACAATCTTTTCATTTCCTATTGTTTTAAATGGCTCATAGAATGTTTCGAGAAAATAAAGATTGACATTTCTTGTATCAAGTGGATATCCGACATTGTTTGGATAAACAAATCCCTGTGATCCTCTCGACCATGTTGCAACGATATTGTTACATTTAAACTTACTTAAAAGTGTACAGGCTGTCTCATCATCATCATCAATGATATTTACTTGATTTTGACTTGCAAAATGTTTACATTCGTAAACATTCATATGCATGATATAATTCTTTGCTATATATGGTTCAAATATTGGCTTATAAGCCACAATCTGACCTTGTTTATTTGCCATTAGTCTTACTATCCTACACATTTTTGTAGCATTTGATGGTGATATTGTTACATTTTTCATGCTCACATCAAATGTCTCAATCGTTTCATCATTTTTCATTTCGAGTCTCTCAAACTTTGGCCTTTGAAGGATCAATAATGATTTGATGGGCTTCAATGCGAGTTCAGGTTCTGGCAAACTTCCATGTTGCAATGATCCACGTTTGGGTTCATTCTCATGATACATATAAACGATTTTCATTGTGTCATTCTGTGAAGTAATCAAATGAAAAAAATAGAGATTTTTTTTAGTATATGTAGATATATTCATCCTATATTCTTTTTTTACTATTCATTCAGACCAAGTCAGTGATTTATTGATGAAAAGTTTACGATATGTGTACATATAAACATATAAAAGAGTAGTAAGCATTAGCAATATATAGAGAGATGAAATAGAGTACACTTAGTGTGTAGTAGGATGAGTTAGAATGTTGATTCTATGCAAACACACATAGACATTCACACAAAAGCTCCAGGATGGACAAGGGTTTGATTTATGGTCGATTGTTATCTTTTTTTTCTTCTTCTTCCGGATATAGGGAGGTCAAATCTGTCATTTGGACAGGGATGAAAAGTTTCAATGGATATTTTCTGTGGTTTATGTATCATTTTCTCATTCTATTCACTTCTCATTTTTTTCTCATCTTCTTACATCAAACTATCTTCCTCTATTCATCTGGATATCTTTACAATGTATCTGTAAACACTTTTTGCTTTTGTGCATTCTTTAAATAATGGTGGGTGTGCTTTAAAAGAGGAAATTTGTCTGACTGATTTTTGTTGTTCTTATAGAAAAGTTTTATGACATGACGCTTAGTATGTGTGTCTGTTTATAGCTTTTAAGCAATCATGTTCAATGAAGAGATTTTCATCAGTTGACAATTTTTTCTCTCTTTCTTTTTTTTTCTACATATGGTAGTAGAATACTTTCGATCTGATTATCTGTTTTAATCTGGTTGTTCCAGTCAATTATGGCTGGAAAATTTTTGTTTAGATTTTTGGAAATTGTTTGAATAAAATTGAACCTGGGGAATCAAATTAAATATAGGGGAATCTGCTAGTATGAGAGAGAACCATCTATTGCTTAATGGTTAGTCAACAGACTGAATGTCATAAGAGCATATGTTTGATTCTTTATGAATCCAAACTCTCAATCACATTCTTGATCATTTACAATTGAGAGACTTAAATGAGACTAAGGCTCTGTACTTAATTTGCCTGACATGTGAAGCACCTGTGTTTTATTTTTTGTCATTTATGTCACTTTGGACAGATTGAAAAATTGATCAAAAATCCTAGAACATTGCATAACACCTTACTCAGCAATGCCAAAGCACCTGATCAAAATAGAACATCAAACACAGTTCCATATGATTTCCACGTAAAAAATTAAACTTCAATTCATACACCACACATTTTCACATCAAATTTAAATCGTCTCTCTCTATATTTCTCAAATAACTATAAACCTGAGCACGTTCTGCTCTAATTTAAAATTCAAGAAGTCCTTAAATTCACATAAAAAGACTCAAATGAAAAACTTTCAACTTGCAGCTTAAATAAAAACATAAACTTTTTTTTTTCAATATATTCACTGAGCCTAAAGTCGTTTACAACTTGTGTCAAAAAAAAAGTATTCTTTCCATTCATAACAACCAAGCACTAAAAAAAATTTTTATGGCATAAAAAAAACTTACAGTGATGGGAACATCAAATTTTTCATCGCATGTGTCGAGCTTACGTCGAAATCGTAAAATTGTGTGTGTAGCATTTTCATGACCCGACATAAGGACATAGTCTTGAGATGGATCTACGACTGGCTCACCGTTCTTGCTATGTAGTGGGATGTGGCGATCCTGTAATGAATGGAAATAAAGAAAAAGAAAATTTTAATATTTATGAATGAGAGAATAAAAAAATATTTAATATGAAAGTGTATGAGGGTAAACAGGAAGAAAAGGAAGCGAAAGAGAGGAGAATTAGAAAGAAAATTTATATCTATTGTTACATGGTTCAAAATTGAATTCCATAAATCATCAGCGGTGGGGAACCATTTGCATACTTTACGCGTAAAACCAAGAGATTTTTACATTTATTTTTTATTGTTGAAAAGCGAAAATTTAGTCGATGGAGGCTTGTTGTTAGGTAAATTTTTGGCGGTGCTTTGTTATTTTAATTTTTTTATATATATTCTTTCCCATTCAACAGCATCAGTGGTAGTGGTAGAAAAAAATTGCTATATATTGGGAGCCGCGTGAGTGAGTGAGATAGAGAGAATAATTGAACATTTTCATCATCCCCCCATGGTACTCGAGTCATCTTCAACATTGTAATTACACTAAATGCAATTTTTCATGCCAAAAATTGTATGTTGCGTATATAAATTTTGACCATCTGGTCTCACGCTGTGTTTTTACCCACCATATATACCTCATCCGCAATATAACAATGAATAAATACACAACGACTGTGTAGATACATGGATAGAGAGATGAGTGAGGCTGAGAGATGGAAAGTCATCATGAAATAGCAATCAGAATCATCGCATCATTTCTGGCAAACCCAGTATACGTTAGGGTTGGATAGATTGTGGATTAGTGATTCTATTGAATCGAATTATGTGATTTCTGGGGATTTTGCTTGGTTGATGAATCTATTTATGCAAATATAGTGTATTCACTGGTCTTATTCAATTAAGAGCAGTTTAATTAGTGAGGATTGTAGATAGATAAGCTTTAACATTGAACTTTCATAACCATAAAATGCACAGCTATTACCAAGATTCCACGAAGGCTCCATAAATATTTTTAAAAGAATTTATTATCAGGTGTCGAATTCTCGCACTAATCCTACACAGAAATAAGTTGAACTTTACAGAAGCAAATATTTATGATAGCTCCACACATCAGCATCACTATTAAAGGTCATTAAATTTTCTATTAACACAAATATCCAAAAAGGTTGCAATATAATACCCAAAATAGTCTCTCAAATGCCAAATACTATAAATTTTCTATAACGACTTTCCATCCACATTCAAATGTCCTGAATATGCGACAATTATTTCAAACAAAAGTCAGTTAATGACTTCTTCACTGACAACATCAGGTTGCACGTGTTTATCTGTTATAAAAAAGAATCTTTTGAGAGAAAGTCACATCCCCGGAACATAATTTCTCGATCAAGACCTCCAATGCAGCATAAATTCAGATAGATTTATAATATATCTCTATATGCATGCATAACTATGCTATTTTAACTCTACCCTTTAATATGTATATATATTTTTTTTCCTGTGCAATTGCCAAACAACATGAAGCATATTTTTTATTTGTTGCAAAAAGGCTGGGGTTTTGCGTGTGGAGTAACCGCAGTTTTTGCTTTTGAATTTTTGATTCGCATTGTGAGGTTTGAATGAAATTTAAATTTTTATTTTTTTATTCCTGCCGTATGCAAGTTAAAATACAAAAAAACGATAAAACAAACCCGCAGAAAGATAGAAGAGAGAAATGAAATGAATTTGAAATGCGAATGTAAAAAAACTGGAAGAGTAGAAAAGGGAAAAGAGAAAAATTAAAAACAAATTAAATTAAACGACAAAATGTTTCAAGCTCTTATCTCATTTTTCAAAACGACACGAGAAAAATTTTATTCATTTCTTTGCCTTTCTGTACTCCCAAAAAAAAAACATACAAAACTCAACCGAAAATATTTCGACAGAAAACAGAGAGGAAGAGAAAAAGAGAGAATGAAAAAAATTTCTTCCAAATTGCCTACACAGGAATTTAAATTGCAAAAAATTATTTTTGACTAAAGTTAGTAAGGAAGTTTGTTGGGATTTTTTTGAAAATGCTTGAAGTGCATTTTTAAAATTTTTGAGGTTAGAAAATTTTTAAAATTCAATAAATAATAATGTCTTCAGAGCAAAATAAGCTTCATATTTAAATTCTACGGCCGGTTTTTAATCTACTCTTAAAAAAACTTTAGCTGTTCAGACCTTAAGATTCATAGCTGCGCGTTATGTTTGTTCAAAGGCAAATTATAATTTAACTAGAGAGGATTCACTAGACCTGTCACGCTTACAAAGGCTTAATGTTTAAAGTTGGATCCAGTCCACTCCTTTCATGACAGTTCTGCCTAGAGCCTACAAAAGCAGGCTGTGAGCTTCATTTCCAGTATATGTGATTTGAAAAAAAGGCATGTGATAAATTTCCCAAATTCCAGTCTCGTACTCATGATCGCTTTGTCAGTTTTGGAATAATTAGGTACCGAAGCACAGAACCATTATGTAACCGTGCAACTTTAGCTATGCTCTGGAAATTTATTCCTACCCTTGCGTGCCCCCAGTAGCCCTAGTAGCAGCTTTTACACGAATTCTGCTATATTGCATAAAACAAATTAATTTTTTTGGAACCATCAAATCTCAATTCATACAACCTCTCAAAAAACTCATATTAAATTAATTATCATTAGACAAGTCAGTCACGAACAAGCCAAACCTCACATAAAAATTTTTGCACACCAAAAATTGCACAAAAAAATAAAGAAAGAAAAAAAAACCTCCGTTGTGTGCACATATGTTCAGGCAAAACGATAATTAGTTCTGCCAAAAGTAAACGTCAAAAAAGGTTGAATGGAAATCGCTCTTTTGTAAGTATCATAGGGATTTTTCGAGTGCTATCTTCCTCATCCAATCTCTTTTCATTATGCAGATTTATCAGTAGAATAATTTTTATTGTTATTATTATTCAAGTCGGTATCTCAGTCTGACCATCTTGTTATTTTTATTATACATCCATCTCACTTACTCCTGTTTTTATTTTATATATTTATTCTTTAAATCACATTAATTCGATTTAATCTTTTTCTGCAAGTTTTTCCTCAAACTTTTTTATTTTTAATGGCAATGGGATTAAAAATTTTAATTAATAAAAAATGAAATGAAAAAAACACACAGAAGAGAGTTAAAACTTGGATTAAGAAATAATTCGATGTCGAATTAAAAATATATGTGTATAATTTAATTTGAATATCTATCTCATTCTGATTCTGTGTTGAAATCGTACATTTAGTTTTGTATCATCATCTGTGATCTGGTGCTTTTTTGCTGAGCTATTTTGGTCATTCTTTCATAATCTCATCTCTCTTTCTATGCTTCTTTTTTTATTTCTTGAATTCATAATTTTTATTTGATGATTATGAGAATGATTATGATGACGACGACGACGAAGAAGGGTTAGCAGCTTGAATTTTATATCATTTTGAAGTGGAGATTAATGAGTAGATTATTAATGAGTAAGTCTTAACGATCGAAAAAATATAAAGTTTTTAAGAGCTGTCAACATATAAAAATCAAGAATTTATTTAAATTTGTTTTCTGTGACTTAATTTTTGTGGCATTCTTATTAATAATGTTGGAATTTAATTATTTTTGAGATCCTAGTGTCAAAATATTTTAGAATCTGTTGGAAACTTTATGCGATATTTTATTTGGATAATATTTTTTCGGCTAGATATTGACAGCTGTGATGATGATTCAAAGGAACTGCGGGATCTAAATAAATATTTGATTAAATTTTAATGATCTGAGTTTGCTGATTCTGAAGGTGTTGCAATTCATTTCAGGGGTGTCAAAGAATATCCAGCATTGGTTCTTATATAGGTTTTAATAGATTTCTCTCTTTAATGGAATCGTAGTCAAAATTTTCGAGAAAAAGATTCCTAAAGCCAGCCCTTTACAGGTTATTTATTATTAACAAGTCTATTTATGTTGTAAAGTTAAAATTTCCAAGAAGAATAATTTTATTTAAGAATACTTAAATTTGTTAATATCAAAGCTAGTACCAAGAAATGATGACAACTTTCAAAAACCCAATAATGCTTGACAATTGATAAAAATATTCAATAATCCTTTTTTTCTTAGAATTTCTATAAAGTGCTATTCTGCTCTTGATATTTTTCATGTTTCAAAGTTTCTATCAATTTACCTCCTACATAATGACGCTATTGATTCGAAGAATCAATAATTTCCGAATCATATGACAATTATCCTGAATATTTCATTATATCGTGTCTACAAGTCCTTTTCATTGATAAATTTCATAAGAAGTGACCTTATTCCTAGTTCATTGAAATTATTATTTCATTCTGTAGAAATTCTGATTATCAATAGGAGGTCGGGATGTATATTTTTAATTAAAAACACTTCTTGAACTTTCTTCTATTGTTTTCTACACGTGTTGCCTTATTTCTTCATTTACATGCTTGAATTTTTCATCATGCCACGTGGAAATTCATGATGAGAAGAAAAAAAAACTCAAGCGTCATTGTTGACTATCTATGAGAAGATTTTGTGTATAGTAAGCATACTTAAAGCTAAGATAAGCATAGCATCAAAAGATTTAAAAGATTTTTTTTAAGAATCTTCAAGCAAGCAAAAAGTTCCGTTTACTGTCAACTTCAATCATCATTATGTGCAAAAAATAAGAAAATCCTTGAAGCAAAAAATAGGAAAAAATAAGTCTTTAGTAGATAAATTGATGGGAATGTTTGTAAGTCACTCATTATATCCGCTTGAAAAATTTTGGAGGCTCATTAGTCAAGTGGGATCAAAAGTTGACGATAAAGCTGTGCTTTTTATAGAGTAAATATTTTCTTGTGTCATTATCATTGACTTATGGATGGATTATTTAATAGAAAATTGAGTGGAAGATTAAGTTGGTTTATTAGGTCAATAATTGAGGTTTTTGTAGACTGACCGTAAATGGAGAAGTTTTTAGATTCTTAAAGCAGACAGAAATTAGATTTTAAATGTAAATAAAATCTCTTCTGTCTGCATGAAATTCTCAGGAATAGA